ACTCATTGCTTCATTTCTTAATTTATTGTTAATTATTATTTTATTTATTATATTCTTTGCTGATCGGTCATTAATAAGATACTCTTGCAGTGGTTCTTTTAATGTCACTGGTTGTGATCCTATTCTAAGATTGTTTGGTGCTCCTATACCTGATCCAGTCTTCCCTACTGTTACTGCACTCATTGGGTTAGTATCAGCTGTAGCTACTCTACTCTTAGGACACCTGGTCGGGTTCCACTGTTTTATTAGTAAGTAAAGTAATGATATTAATGATACTTTATAAGTTTGTAAAAGTCCAATTTCAATAAATTGCAGAAACAAAATTTTGTTCCTTTGTCACAAAATTTGTGCCAAGCAAAACAGATTTTTGAGTGACTTTTAAAATTCTTATTACATTGTAAATCCAAATTTGATTAGAATCAGCTCAAACTTTCTACACAACATAAGTACATGTATATGTATCAGGAAATGTAATAAAAATGGAGAATTCTCTACTTTTTATTTTTGGCGAAATTTGGCCCGTGACCCTGTACTATAGTACAGGGACTTTTATCCGATTTGAAGTAACTTTAAAAATTCATTAAAAATCTAATTTTGATTGGAATCAGCTTAAACTTTCTACGCAACATAAGAACATGTATATGCATCAGGAAATGTAATAAAAATAGAATTTATTCTAAACAATAATTTTGATGAAATACCTTGTACTATAGTACAAGGTATTTTATTGACTTACCAGACAGTTATTAGATGAGTTATTATTATTATTTTGTTCATTTCTTGTTCTTTGTTGTACTATGTAATCATAAGTACTGACACCTTTATAAACTAGACAATAATAATAATAATAATAATAATAATAATAATATAATACATAACTATACATCAAAATAAAATAAATAAAATACGTTTATATACATGTATGATTAATAATAATGCAAGTACATGTAGTTACATGAATGTAAATGAATAAATTAATGTAATATTGTTTGTTATAACTATTAATAACTATTAATTAACTAGTATCTTTTAATTAACCAGTACAGGAACAGGGTCACTCCCCTACTGGAAGAAGGTGGCGGCCATTTTAAAATGGCAGAATCATATTAAAACAGTTCCTCAACAGAGGAGGTATGACACGGTTGACCTTTGATTAATAATTGCAAAGTTCAATTGCATTCCATTGGTATCACGTGACGCAAAATGGCAGCTTTCTGATGACTGTATCACAAAACAGGCTTGTACTGCAGAAACTATAATGATCCATGACGATCCTTCACAGTTTTGAGAATCACCAGTGCATGGAGAATATTTATTCTTTGCCTACAAACATGAATATAAGAAGGAGAAAGAGACAGTGCGTCTTAAATTTGATCCTGTTCTTTACTTCATCAGATAAATAGATCTCCACTAGTTTAAGATTTTAAAAATAACTGCAATCATCATAGTTTGTAGTGAAGCAATAAAATTCTCATTGGGTCTTTTCTAATGCTTTAAATTACTGCTAGAAGAGGTACTGGTGGCCATTTTGCATCACGTGATACCAATGGAATGCAATTGAACTTTGCAATTATTAATCAAAGGTCAACCATGTCATACCTCCTCTGGTTCCTCAAGTTCAGCTGGTAAAATCATAGATAATAGAGTAAATGAAAGGGATTGGAAACGGGTGCGTGGGCGTAGCCCAACCTCCATTCATTTGTATTGTTACTAAGCATACAGAGGTGGGTTGAGATTTTTTCACTATTTTCACGCTACTTTTCCTTCTTTCAGGAGCAATATCTGGCGAAGGACTGTTCTCATTTAAGTGAAACTGATGCATCAAGAAGCCTAATGTTTCCTCTCAACACTACTGTTATCTATTGTACAGAAAATGTTATAGTTTTAATGACACAGCCCATTTTTACTCTTAAAATGCCATTTATTTCATTATTCTCCCTTTTCTCAAAACATGCTAAAGTAAAACTGGAAACCATTATAATCATATGAAAGGCCTTACACTTTCCAAAGTAATTATACAGGTTAGAGTTAGAATCTATGAAGTATGAGTTTGTTACAAGAGCTAAAGTGTACCAAAAATAGTTGATTTGTTGTACCTATAACTGATTGCAACATAGCTTTACAGAGACAAAAAACTTGCTGTGGGTAGCTCTAAAAATTATATGTGCAATAGGCTATAAATTATAAGCAAGCGCTATCCTGGAGCAACACAAGTTTCCTTCAAAATCCTTCCAGAGCAACTTTACCAACGGAGGAGATGGCAAAACACTGATGGTTGTCACGTGGTAACCCAACTAGCATTTCCTGTTGCTACGCCCCGTTTCCAATCCCTTTCATTTACTCTAATATCTATGGTAAAATGACATTTGGTCGGACCCCGCCCCCTTCAGTTGAAGGTGATAATGAAGATTACACTATATCCCATAGTGAAGAACATGCTGACTTAGCAAGAAACCAATCTGGGGAACACCGGACTGGTAACCATGACGATGACGATCCTAGTAACCGTGGCAACGTTCAAAACACTCTCAATTTGAATCTTCACAAGACGTGGTGTTTAATTAGTAAGTGAAATAATATTAATGATACTTT